GAGAAACAGGCGCTGCGGTGCAGCCGGGTTAGGGTTCTGCAAGTTTTCGTAGCAGGCTGCCAGGAAGAGTGAGCTATTCCGGTTGTGGTCTAACTACCTGTTGGGGAGACTTTTCCAACCTCCGGTAGCGCCCTGGTCTTTCTCAGAAAAGCCATAAATCTCTCTTTTTTTGAAATAAAAGCGAACAGAAGTGCTATCCGAGGCATTAAATAACTCATATACCGTGTCATCATCTTGTATTACATTGCTTTCTACTTTTTTTTAAAAAAAGTAATACTTGGCTTTTCCATTCGATATAGAAACATGCACACGTGCTTGGTCTTTTTGTTTTTTGTTTTTTTTTTCTTTTGCCCTGAATTCAGGCAGTCTCGAATCGTGGATTTAAAATTAATTAAAACGAATTCTGTGTTTTAAAGCATCAGCAGAAAGGCTATTTTTCATAAAAAATGTCTTAACTGCTTTGCTGCTCAACCAGTTTAAAATAAAGTTGGTTTTATGTAGGTTATGTTTGGAGAGAGGAGACAGTTGAAGAAAACATACCCCAAGACTGTAAACCTGCACATAAGTTTTACTATACTTACCCAATAGGTTAATCGGCTATTCCTGCAGTGCTGGTAATAGAAAGAATCCTGCAGAAGAGGCAGGCCAGTGTTGTGTTTATATTGTGTGAAATGTAAGGTCAGATAATGTTATGTGGGGTTAATGCAATTAGTAAATACTCTAAACGCTATCTTTGGATTTAAATAGAAGGTCTGTGGGTTCAAGTAAAGCGCTCGCGAGGCTTCTATTAGAACAGAAGATAGCCCTCGAGCAGGTGCCATATTCTGCTCAAAGTGAAATTGCTTGAAAGGCTTAAATTGTTTTCATCAGTATCTAGACGTATGTTGTTCCTGACATTACAGTGAGTATAGTTGAAAATTTTGTCTTTTGAGGTCCAGGGTGGCAGAATGTATTCAAGAAAGCGGTCACAAAGTTAATCTGAAAGCCCATCTGAATTTGGGTTATGTTTTTTTTCTTTTTACATTCTTTCACAGACAGATTTAAGTTCTGCACTGTTTCACATACTTCCAGGATTTCAGGAGCCATTGCTGTAATAAGGAGAACATTACATGTAACATTGCAGGACTTCTTTTATCTTAATCTCTCGAATTTTGACAGCTTTCCTAGTAATCCTTTATTCTTTTAATTTCTGGGCTTTTTGTGGAAGTTTGTAAACATTAAGGCCTTGTTTTGTGAAGACAATGTTTGAATTGTCTTAAACTTGTAGAATTCCCTAATGAGCTAGAAATAGGATTAGGCAGGTTTGACAAAGGATAAGGAGCGAAACAGGAGCACATAAAAGCAGTTACTTCTTCATTATTGTGTGCCAGGGTGACGAGATACAGCATTCTGCTTGGCTGGTTTTCTCTCTGGAAGATCACGCAGCTTCTTCTGTTATACCCAGCTGAGTTCCTCAGAGAATTGAGGCAAAAGCCAAAAAGCAAGCTTTTTGAAATGCTTTTGGGAAGTGGGGTAATTGTTTGTGAATGGTCACCTTGCTGCTAAATGATTGTTACCACATCTACAGTTCTTAGTGGATTTTGCAGTCAGAATATTGTCTTCTAAGTCATGTGCAAGCACAGTGGTGAACTTTAATAAGAGGATATTGGATTTCTGAGAGGGAGTGCATGCTAGGGGAAGACCACAGAGGCCCTGATTTTGTTTTGGTTGACAAGGCTACTTACCTTGTTCAGACAAAGGGGACATTGTCATTTTTGCAGGACCAAGGGCATAGCTCTATAGTTAAATGTTTTTCTCTTGAAGATTCTTTAATACAGAAACATCCAAGAAATAAAATATGCTTAGCAAAAACCCCCAGAAGTTTGTAACTCCGTATACTTAAGGTTTTTCTTTGTAATTTTATCTTTGTCATGTGATGTTTCTATAACAAAAATTGTTGTTGGCTGATTAAAATAATTAGAAGCCTTTTTCCGTTTCATTCATCCCTTAATTAATTTATACAGCATCAGGTTTTTACCATTCTCAGTGAAGTCATTTGAATTGGCCATATGTCGGTAGTAAATTGTATTCTTTCTGTCCTGCTGTTTTATTTTTGAAGTGCCCTTTCTTTGTAGTCATACCATCTGCTTCTACTGAGTTGAACTCTTGATTTATTACCAGAAACAAGATCAATATTATCTATCATCTTACATAAGGAAAAGTCCAATGTAAGTCTTTAAGAGCAGTAGTTGATACTGTGATTTAAACTTGGATTCAATTTCTCCAGTTGAATGAGATTACAAAACTGCTGTTCCATTTGTTTAAATACGACTGCCAGCTCCACCCTTTCCCACTTCCTTCTAATTCATTCAGTTTTTATAGAAAGTATGCAGGGTTGGCTTGATGGATAATTCCATGAATCTGTCAAATGGTTTTGTTTCTTTGTCTTAATTGCTGACAATATAATGTGTACATCAGAAAATTGAGAGTGCTTTTCAACTCCTGGCCTTGCTTTGTGATATAAAATTACTGCTGTATGTAAGAATGAAAAGGCATTATTTCTTTCATAACACTAACGACTCACTAGGCTTCTTTGCCTTCCCATGGACATGCATTCCAGGATTTATTGAGTGTTTGATTACTGACTCCAAACAAGAATACCTGGTAAAAGCTGCTGCTGGTGTTCATACTCCAGACGTAGATAAGTATAAAATACAGTGAAGTTTTGGCACAAACTTAGACACAACTTATCACTTTTTCATCTCCTAAATTGTTTTGTGAATTTAAAAAAGCAACGAAGACAAACCAAACAAAATGTGAGTTCCCAGTTTGCAAATGTTAGGCCATAAAGGTGTTACAAATGTTTTCTCTAAACATGAGTAAGCTTTTAAATACTATATAGTCGACATTCTGGCTTTCACAGTAACTGACCTGAAGAGATGGGAAGTGAAGCAGATGCAAGTTCTGCACTTCCCATCAGGATGCTGTAAATATAGTTTGCTCAGGGTAGTCAGGATGTGTTCATCTTTGCTAGCAAGCACCTAATACTATTAATTTCCTCTATTCTTTTCCACTTACCTAAGGAGAAGGGGAGTGTGCATTCTCTTAGTGTGGTTTGTTTTTTTTTTTTTTTAGTTTTCCAGCAGTGGGAGGAGATGATGTGTAACAGGTTCTCTTTGTTCACAAACTCAAAATCCCCAAGCAGGGTTGATATTTATCTTCTTTGATCCGGAGTGAAACTGACTGAAGGCTTGTCTGTTCAGTGCATGTGTGGGGTTTCATTTTTCTCGAGCACAGCAGCAGCGTATTGATGCTCTAGGTTAATGCTAGGTGGGAGGCACAGGATGCTAGGGGATAAAGTGGACAACTCTGTGTTTGTTTGATTGATTTTTTTTTCCTGTGTGCTTTCTACCCCATTTGCAGAGCTCACTGACAGCGGCTGAAATAGTGTAAATGCCTTTGGATTTAAAGAATGAATGCTGTTTAATTTGGTGGTAAATCAGCAGTATGTGGAATAGTTATTTATGTATTTGATGAAAAATCTTAGCTGACAAGTTTATTTTAGATGTTGGTGTGCATTCAGGTGGCAGAAGCAGTTCCAGTATATTACAGCAACACTGGCATGTTCACATGGTGTTTTGTGAGCAATGGTTATCAGTTTGAAATGGATATCAGTTTGAAATTGAAAGCTACCAACCATACAAAATGAAATAGGCTGTCTGGTTAAACTGTCTGGTTAAAACAAATCTTAGCCAGAGGAGATGTGTTTTTACAGCCCTTGGTGGCTGTTGAGGCAACACAATGGTGAGAAAAAGAGCTGAAGATAGAGAGATGGATAGAGAAACATTAAATGAGCATGGATTGCATTAAACTAGGACATTTTCCAAGCTGAATGTAGTGTGTAGTTCTAGTTTCTTCATTAGAGTCGAGGGTAGCAAGTCCAAGAGTTCTGTAGCTTGTTTATTCCAGTAACTCATGAGAAGGAGGGTTTTTTTCCTGAATAACGGCTAAAGGCCCTTATCCATACCAGCAAATGAATCTGTTGCATTGAAAACTGAGGGGAGATAATATTGGCATGTTCAATTAGGTACTGTATAAACAAAAAATACACTGTGATGTAACTTGATTTTAGTGTATGAGGTTTGTTTTCTCTTTAGCAGTTAATGTGGTTGGCAGGTCAACTTTTCTTTTTTAGATAATGAGGTTTTTTATTAATTCCTGTTCCTCATGGAAGGGAAATACCTTATTTTTTTAAAGCTGATGGTCAGCATACTGATTTAGCCACTTATAAAACAGACCTGAATATAAATCTTGTTTTAGGTCTGGCTGAATGTGTGGTATTAGAAGTGCTGTCTTAAATGAATGGTTAAAAGCAGCAGAGAGGAATCACACCTAGCCATATATAAGAAGTGAAGCAGTAAGTAGACTGAGTATGTTAGATACATATATAACTGAACATTGCAGATGAAGAAAACCAAAAGTGGAACAGCATTTGATGCCAGAAAAAGTTTGAGAATGATTTTTCAGTAGTTTAGTCGATATTTCAAGTTAACATCAGATGATGTCATTTTGTTTAAACAGTGAATAGAGTCTCTTGACCTGCACTTTATCTAGTTTTTACTTTGTGTTGGATATTGACTCACAGAACTTCACTGCGGGACTTGGGCACTTCATCTACTGGTCTGCCCTATTGAGAAGCATAATATTGTGCCATCTTTCTTTACCTTTTATTGTCTTAATGTTTTGTGGCTGCGGAGT